GCACAATGAAAAGTATCAGTAGTTCCACAGCATCTGAAAACATGGTATATTACATAACACAACAGGAAGGAACACAACCCACCACCTCGAATATGCATGCGCATTGAGGGGGACTATATTATGACGTATAGACTTACTGACAGGCAACGACTGGGTAAACACATTCCTGCGGAAGCGAACGCGCTTAATAGGACGTCCATTGCTAGGCAACGGATCAATAAACAAGCCTTATCAACAATAGAGAGGCTGTGTTTTTTTTCCTTGGACCGTACCGAGAGTTTATAAAGGAACAAAGGAGGTTGTTTGATTTAGTTGTTTTCGAGAATTGGGTCGAGTTCTGGAGATGACAGTCGAAGATGATCAAGAAGAAATAGCAAGAAATGAATTATATTGTGCAAAGATGACTTCATGTGTGATTTTAAGTTACAGCTAGACGATTGTAAATCCGTTACCAGGATATGACTCTTGAAGACTGAGAAACCTAGTGCTTGTGTATCGATGAACTCTAAAGTGCGTAGATCAGCGATAGCGCTGTATTCCTGTAGTCCCCAGTTGTGTGAATATGGTGGCAATAAATCCAGTCATCCAATCTAGAATCCGTCTTAAAAGCCACATGTAACAACTCTACGCGTGACAATATATTAACAGCATAAGCAATGAAAAGAGAAGACAGAGTTTCCTCATCAAAATTTTTTAACACCTGATAATGACCACATCTGTTGAAACATGTAGTGTAAAACTTTAAAGTAAATATCTTTCAATAATTTTATAGGCCATTAGTGTTGCACATAAGACTGTAAAAAACTAATTGACAATAAGTGAAAGTGCAACAAGATGCGACAACATAATATTGTTAAAGAGGAGAAGAATATTAAATTGATCTTAAGAACGTAGAGTGTGAGGGTGTTGATGGGATTCATCTGGCTCATTATAGGTACCAACTACTTCTTCTTGTGACTACGGAAATGAACCTTTGCGTTCCAAATAAGCGTATAATTTATTGATCAGTTGAACATCTATTAGCTTCTGAGGAAAGACTGTTATCCATATTGTTTGTGGCTTGGGAGCCTTGTTAAATAAGATCAAAACAAAAGAGTTTTGTTAACCTCATTATTCAGTCTACAAGTGTGTTATTTACAATTTTATTTTCGAACACAGAGCAGCGGGATAATTACACGAGACAAAATGTGGGTACTTCGCTCGTCTTTTGACCTAAAGAAGAGAGGAAACGCAGTTCTTCGTCCGTGAACTGTATAATAAAGGAAATTATGTTCAAAATTACTACAATTTATTGTGCTTGACGTGACAAGAATAGCCCCTTCTGTCATTAACCGAAGAAGATTTCTTTCAAATGCAAATAACAAGCTTTGCACTCTGCTGTCATCAAGAACGTAGTTCTTTGTACATAAAATTAGATTACAAATGACGTAATTAATAATCAGCTTGTCAAATTAATCATTGAATACAGATTGAGCAGAGAAAAAATTACATGTCTATATACTTGTATATACCTGTGAATGAAATTGTTCGTTATGAAATGATTTGTAGTTCCTGCAGGGTTGAGCGATAACTAGACATCTGTCAGCGTTGGAGGAGAGTCATTCGTTAAAGCATTCTGTGCGTATGTCCAGTGGAAAAAAGCTGAATTGATGATATTTTATGCTGCTGACAATAGATTCATTTGAATTACTGTCTGTAGGCTGGAACAGAATGAACAAAAAGTTTGTACTGTAATTATATCGACTTTTTACATTAGTTGTTTTCTGAAGTAAAAGCAGTCTTACAAATGTTCCAGATGTATATTTCTGACAATTTCCAACCAACTGACCTACTCTCAAGTAAATTTTCATTATACTGTATATACACCCGATAACACTGGAGACACATCGCTACTGCGTTACCATGGAAATGAAAACCAGAACTAGTGCAGTTCCCGCGGCAACGAATACACTAGCTACCAGTGCATAGAACACATAGAGCGTGACCCTTGAACAAGATTTCTAGGCCGTCCGACTGTCGGTTATAACACAAGAAAACAGGAAGAAAAACAGAACAGGGGAGAAAAGAGCAGAGGTGAGAGCAGAAGAAACCAGCTCAGCTAAGAACCAGAAGACGACCGACTAGCTAGTTCGCATTGCATTGAAGACGTAATTTGGAATGATTGTAATTGTAATTGCAAACGAGTTATCCAATAAACAGCTTCAACCAATCCGGAACCCATCAATTTCTTGTCGCGTTACCAGGAGATGTGACAATAAAAATATAAGCATTTAAAGCATAAATTTTAAGTAGTTTTCTTATAAAACGTTGGCTAAGAACATAGCGACAGAGTTAATTGTTTTCGATGTTGTATTGTACGCAGGCACGAGATAATCCTTATTAAGAATTTCTTTTTTGAGTTATTTTACGGTTCTGACAGTATATAGACTACACAGGGTCGTGTGGTAGTGTGGTTAATGCAAGATGAATAGGAAAGGATTTTCAAGGAAGCTGTCGGTATGTACACGTAATTTGAGATCATATCGTGATATTCGACAACAGGTAAGGTAAAGATAAAGGCGTCCCTGTGCTTAACTAATTATACACTGCGCCTTGAAGGTGTATGGGGGAATGGATGTATAGGTCCACGTTTTCTTGACTCAGGCCCTAGTTGGAGGTGAGTAGTCAGCTTCACGCCACGGCCGCTTTACCCTCAGGAAAGGGTCCCGGTACCCATTGGATAGGAGGCTGTATGGGTCCCAGTGCCGGTCTGGATGACGCGGAGAAAAGAAAATTCTTCGTCCTATCAGAACTCGAACTCCAACCCCTCGATCGTCCAGCCTGTAGCCAGTCGCTATACCGACTGAGTTATTCCGGCTCCCTATTTGACCCCAGGCACTTACGAAAAGTATGAATGCATCAGAATAACCAGTGTTCCTGCCGAGATTTGAACCGAACCTCTGCCGAATATGTGTCTAAAGCAAAGGTTTTTAATCTGGGGTTCATGGACCCCCAATTGGTCCGTGGATAGATTGCAAGGGATCAGTGAATTCGGACGTAAAATAAAATTACATCTTTATTTTCACTAACCTCTAACTGAAATTTAGAATTTCCGTCACTTAGGAATGTAGGCGTACTCTTCTCCAAGTATAATGAAAATTGCATGTAGCACGAATGGGGGAAAGAGGAATGCATGTAGGATACTGGTGGGAAAGCCAGAAGGAAAGAGACCAGTAGGAAGACCAAGGCGTAGGTTGGTTGACAATATTAAAATGGATCATAGAGAGATAGGATGGGATGGCATGGATTGGACTAATCTGGCTCAGGATAGGGACCAATGGAAGGTTCTTGAGAACACGGTAATGAACCTTCGGGTTCCATAAAATGCTGGGAAATTCTTGAGTAGCTGCAGATTTGGCTTCTCCTCAAGAAGGGCTCAGCTCCATAAGCAAATAAGTAAGGAATGTAGGCAACAAACCACAGTAGAATCAGCAGTACATGTGAGTTTGTCACTAATATAAATCACAGATATTTCTATATCACATTACAATTACTGCGCATGTCTCGAAATATATTTCGCGCTCATCACTACTTTGAAATTACGGTGGTTGTTACATCCGCCGCTAGATCGCAGGCGATCGCAGTCTTCATGTTTACAGGCGCTCGTGTGACGTAAGTGACCATCAAGTGGTGGTGTTGCTTGATCTCAGATTGGTGGCCCAGACATCTAAGTTCCTTTCCTGCATTCCCTACCTACACTTGTTTGTTAATCAATATGTGGATGGAGGTGAGTCGTTTTGATTGTTTGTCTAGGTTTTGCAAAACTGGAAAATTCAAATGAGAATTCTTAACTCTCTGTAAGGCGGTGAGGCCTTTTGTAAGACGGATAGGCGTAAGGTCTACGAGTTCAAACACGTCTGACTGTTGAGGTAATTGTTGAAGTATATTATTAAGTAACTTCTTATTATTGCTAATCGATTGCACAGTGACATGGGACATGCACAATGTTGCAAACTATATGAGTAAATGGTAAAAAAGGAGGTAAATTTGACCCTGTGCTTAACTAATTAAGCGCTACGACATGAAGGCATATGGGAGAGTGGATATATAGATCCACATTTTCTTGACCTCAACACTAGGTGGAGGTGAGTGGTCAGCTTCACGCCCCGGCCGCTTTAAACCCATGGAAGGAGCCCCCGGTGCCCATTGGATAGGAGATTGGCTGGACCCCACAGCAAGTTACGATGACGTGGAGAAGAAAAAATTCTTGATGCTATCCTGGACCCGAAGTCTATGAGTAGCCAAACGAAAGAAGCCCCACACTACTGGAGAGACTTTAGTGAGGCCACGTGCACTGGAAATGGTCGAGCTGGTTTGTGGGCTGGAACAGAAGAAGAAGATGGAAGCCGATCCCTTGTCAAATGATAAGAAGCGTTCTGGAAGTGTTGCCATTTATTTTAATATTTTAAAGAACATCATCGAAGAATTGGCAGCCTCGCAATTACCCTTCAACATACAACTGGATGAAACTGCATATATATCTCCAAATATTGCTAATTACCTACCGTTTTCCTTTTCGCTATGTGCATGCTGACGCCATCAAAGAATTCTTATTTCGTGAGCCCCTCTTGGGAACAACAAAGGCCGTTGACGTTTTGGAAAAGGTATTTTTTTTTGTCAAAGAAAGTTTGATTGGAAATTAAAGATTTCTACTGTTTTCACAGATGGAACTCCTGCGATGCTTTGTAATGCGTGTGGTTTTGCTACTTCAGTGAAAAAGGAAGCTCCTCATGTCGTCATCGCTCATTTGTTTTTACATAGACATGCACTGGCGACAAAGCCACTTCCAATGATCCTGAAAAAGTTCTGCTAACAGTCATAAAAGTCATCAACTTTATCTGAAACAGATCTCAGGAATCATCGCATATTTAGAACATTTTGTCAAGAAATGGTGGCACAATATGAAGTGCTTCTCTGTCACACGGAAGTTCCCTGTCTTTCAAGAGGGTAAGTCTCGATAGTTTTTTGGACTAAGGGCAGAAATTTCACTTTTCTGAAAGAAAAAGAAAACCCATGCTGGGAACATTTTGAAAGAAAGATTTTTTTTTCCATGGGTTTCGGAGAAACGAATTCATGTTGCTTGCTTGGCTTGCTTCTGGAACTTGAAGATGGAGGCTGTGCGGATCTCCGAAACATCAGTAAAATTCTAAAGACTGCACTGCCTCATATCCCAGAAGATAATATTCCTCATGTGAGATATAACTGCCCAAGGTTCTTTCGCTCATACAATTGGCATACACTGACAACAACCTGAAAATTTTTAAGAAGAAAAATATGGCGTTTAAATATTACTAACACGACTATAGTTATCATGTATAAAACGTGACATGAAGAAGATATGATTTAATGAAGCACACAATTCAGAGTCCAGCTCTGATTATTAGGTAATTCTCCTTTTATATCGAAAATTACGTCATGTTTCATGAAATTTAAAACATGAACCTCCGAGGTAAATTATCGTGTATTCCTCTAACCTCCAGAATTTTAAGTACATGTTACAGAACAAGGCATAAGCTCACACAATTCTGTGTTCAGTTCACATCCATTTGAGCCCGTTATCAAACTTGTAGGGAAGAACTTACCAATGAGAGGCTGTGTATCGCCTCACAAAAAGCACCAAATTATAGCCAAATTTAAAATCGTTTGTCTCTTCCTTTCTTCACTGTCTTTCACGAAAAGAAATATGGAAGCATTCATGTACTTAGGAAACACTAAACTGAATCACCAAGAATGACGTCAGAATCGCTCGTGCTGTCATGTGGTAGCAATGCAGTATCACCCTCATCATCATCATCATCATCTGCGTTGTCAGAGTCACTGATTCCTTTACTTCCGCCATTTTGGTATCAGAGTTCGATGGCTTCCGGCTCTTTCCATGAAATTCCGGCTCTCAGCATGTTATAGAACTGCATAACTCCATAGATGGCTCCCACCTGCAACATTTTCAGGGAGTTCAAGCAATTAAAATATTAATTAAAATAATTAGATCTAATTATAATGAACAAATTAAAAAAAAGATTAGTGGCTTATTTTGCGACGTCATTATTCTGAATTACATGGCGTCGAATCGTAGGATTTATGTATTTGAAATGACTTGGCAGGAAGCGGCGATAGCCAAATATACCCTATGTACTGTCCTGGAACTGGCCTCTAGGGACTGAGGTAGACCAGAAATGTCTTATCCAGGATTGTTGTCTCCTGGTCAAAAGCTACTTCCGGATTCCAACTCACTTGTTGGATCTGAAAGATGCACATGAAATTATAATGACGTAGGTATGTACGTGTAATTGCCGATCGCAGTGGCCGCGCGATCTAAGGGATGAATTGTCTTCACTCCCTCGGACTCTGTGATCGTGGGTTCAAATCTCACTTAAGGCATGGATATTTGTTTGTGTTTGTACTGTCTGTGTTAGGTATCGGCCTTGCAACCGGCAGATCCCCCGTCCAAGGAGCCCTATTGACTGTCTTCTTGTTATTATTATCATTTTACTGCAATTTGATGCTCACCCGGTGGCAGTAGATCTTACACGATACAGACTAGGAAAGACTATACATAAAGGGAAAAATACAAAACAAAGGAAAACATGCAATACAAACTGAGATTAAGAGAAAATAAAATTTACTTACCTCTAGACCGTAAGGTATAAGAGGAGCAGATTAAGAAAGAAAGAAAGAAAGAAAGAAAGGAATAAAGGAAGAGAGAAATATATGTGTAATTAGTACGTAAGGTTCATTCAGTATTCTATTAACACAAAACAGAATATATAATTGAACAGCCCTGTGAAGTGACTAGAGACTAGGGATAGATTCTAGACAAGGAAATTGTTCTCCAGTTCGCAATCATTTCTAGATCGAATCAGGGGGCCACCAGCCTCCAATATGCATCCATGGAGATAAATCACCCGGGGTATAATGCTGGCCACTCACTGCAAGCCATGATTGAAGCATTACTTCCACGGATCCAAATCTAAGTGAAGTTATGCTTCAGAGCGTTGCCACGTAACACGCATCAATTTGTTCCTTGGCATGTTTATTGACCAATCATATCAGGCAGAACTTAATGTCCAAAGTTTGTCTTGTGGATTTAATTAAAAAAGGCTGTTTAACATTGGGAATCAAATGTACCTGTTATGCAACTACTTTACGATGAAGAACCCCGTGAAATGTTTGTAAGATTTTCTGTGGTAAAATGAAGAATGCTGAATTGTGATTAACTCGGAAGGATGCTGTGGTGGCTTCATCGAGGTATATTCTCCCAGCAATTTCCTGGAGAGATTAAGGAAAGATATGGAAACCCTCAGTCAGAGTAGCACAAATTGGGGCCAAGATTCCAGCCGATTACCTCTGGAATTCGAATTTAAAGCGTTACCTCCAGCCCAGCCTGTTAGGAGCGAAAGATTGAAAACTGTCAAGAGTCAGAGTTTCTTTACGAGTGGTGGTTTGCCGCCAAAGAGTTCATCTTGGTGACAAGCCTCTTGACACTCACGACCAGCAATTTCTATTTCAACTGAACAATTGCGGTTATAGTTTCATGTAACATCATCTCTGACGAGTGGAAGGATCTGCCATTTATAACTGCTGCTGACTTTCGCCAACGCAGTCATTCTCAGGTTTTTTTACTGTCTCAGATTCGAGATTCAGCAAACCTGGTGGTTAGGTCCCCGTATTTATATCCCCCAGAGACAAGGTGGTCCGGTTATATCCCCACGCACCGGGCTCCCTTTTCGTCGCCTCATACAAGTCGCAGGGCTACGGTGGAGGTATTCGAACCCACCTCCAGAAGGGAGGCGGTAGGAGACAGTCACGGGAAGTTAGTAATTGAAGAATTAGAAGTCAGCCTGTGATGACTTAGTGTGTGATTAGAAGATTTACTAACAGTGAGACTGTTTTAATTCCGTTACTAGGGTACAACTCTGGACGACCAAGGGGTCGGATTTCGTGTGCCGGTAGGGTAAAAAATTTTCTCTTCTCCATGTCATCCAGGCCCGCTCTGGGGTCCACCCAATTTCCTATCCAATGGGTACAGGGGGTTCTTACCCCGGGGGTAAAGCGACAGGGGCGTGAAGCTGACCACTCAGCTCCAGCTGGTGCCGAGGTCAAAATAATGTGGATCTATATATCAACTCTCCCATACACCTTCATTGCTTAGTGCTTAATTAGTTAAGCACAGGCACAACTGTACCTTTACCAGTGTACGACTAGTGAAGTCTGAGAAGTGTAGTTCGTGTGTAACGGTGAACTGGAAGTTGTGTAAATCAGCGATAGCGCTGTATTGCTTGTAAGTACGAGTTGATTGTATAAGGTGTTAATAAATCTATTCACCAATCCAAACCTCGTCTATAGTCACTAATACACGTGAAAATATGTACTCATGCATGTAGGTATAATGTATGTGAAGTACACATGCAGACTGTATGCATAAGTATGTATGTTTGGCAGCGGCCTGTATGCATCTATGCAAGTCTACGTGTACAGTACACGAACTTGTGTCAGTTATGTGAATACATGTGCATTTATGCTTGTGTATTCATATACGTACATAAACAGTGCAAACTTCTTTACTTACGTTTAGAATTGCTCTCGATATGAAAAACGCCACTTCAGCTTTGCAAAGAGCGTCGAATTGCTGAAATGACACAGAAGAATACATTTATTTTGCATGCACAAATACAGTCCCGACCGAGCCAGCGAGTTCGGCCTCCACTAGCTTGGCGGTATCTATAATGCTTCCCCCATCTATCAGAGGTGTTAGAGACTATTTGTTGGGCGGGAAACGTTCTTGAATTTGGCTCAGTGACCTCCTTTGGAGATATGAGGTTCTTTTATGTGCCGTAAAGCTACGACACGGGACACACGGCTTAAAGTCCCTCCCGGAGGACTTGTTCCCTGAATTTTTCCGCCCTTAAAAATTCGACGACCTCCGCCGGGTTTGAACCCACGTACTACGAGTCATGATGTGGGAACGTTACCTCTAGACTACGGAGGCCGCTAACTTTACCTCTACCTTAGGCTGTAACTTCCGGTACTGTGTTCGTGAACATTGGATCAGTCTGCATGTATCGAGTAATGATCAACACGACATTTGCTGTGTTCATATTTTCAGAAGCAAGTTTGTCCTGTACAATTCGTAAATAAATTTATGGAACCAAATGACTATTATGACACCCCCATAAATAAAGTCTTACATTTCGTTCGAAGGGTAGGAATAATAAAGGGTTATCAAAGGGGAGGCACAATAGATCATTGAAGGTCACGGTGCAAGGGCTGGATATCATGGCCCATCCCTTATGGATATAATTATATCTCAAAAAGCTTTTATTATACACATTTATGGGTTAAACCATTGCAAAGGGAAACTATTATATTTTTTTCTGGGTATATAACATTCTCAATAAATATCTACGTGGGCTCCCTTGATGGCGCGACAAATATCCAGACGATATGCGAACTCATTCGACGTTACTTGAAGCACGTTCATATCACAGTAGCCACAGCGTCCCTTATGAGGGCTTTCAGGTGTTGAAGGTGTTTGGTCTTAACCCGATAGAAAATGTTTTTCACATAACCCCACAAGGAAAAATCCACTGGCGTTAAATCCGGCTACCTAGGAGGCAAAGCGATTGGTTCTCCTCTGCCGATCTATCTCCTAGCCATCTCTCTGTCCAGGTGATTCCTAACATGGTGGCAGAAATGTGACGGCTCTTTCGCATAAGTCGGGCATAAAGAAATTCAGTTTTCCTTTCCGATGACATAAAACGGATAGGTGTATTACAATTAGTTTCCGAAATATACATTTTTTATTTTGGATAACTTTCATCCGGACACCCGGTACATACATACATTCGTAAATAAATACGTAAGCTTTAGTGGATATTCACGTTTTTTTTTCTCATGTATTACCAATTCTATCACACTTTGTCCCATTAAAGTCTACGACAATCCATTTGAACATCCAACCGGGGGGAAGGGGGTTACGGGGAGATATTACGGATTTTGTGAAGAGGTTAGATCAGTTATTTAATTAGACTCTTTTACGTTGCTCAAGAACTAGCAGTTCAACTGTTAAGTGAATTAGAAAAAGAGTGAAAGTCAATTATGACCCTACAAGGAGAGGAGTGGATGGAATAAAAAAAGAGACACTGTAAATAGAATTACGAGGCCAGAACAGGCATTAAGTAGCCTTGTAGGCAAAGGCAAGAAGAAATGGAAGATGAATCAACTGTATTCATTACTCCTGTCTAGACTGGCGACACATTCAACTGAACTCAGAGCTTAACAACACAACTCTAACTTGAGTGCCTGTAGCCCACTTCTCTTTCTTAATGAAAGTCTATACTTTACTCTTTTGTTTAAATGATTCCACCCTGAGCTGTACTTATTTTTAGAAATAAATGACTACCCGGTTCTAGCTGATAACGACCTCTGTATTATGCCAAGCATTGTGTTGGGCGTTATCCATCTCTTTCGGTGTGTTTGAAATAGGGAAATTTCCCGAAACTGGGTCCTCTTCCGTCGGTTTTCAGTTTCCAGACTTTCTGAATTTTAAATGTATACTGGACCTTCAACAATGGCTAATATAGTATCTTAACAGTACGATCCTCATCACAAACCTTTAGAGAACCAGTTTAGAATTAACATTTCCATTTTCCCGTTAATATAACCAAGCGTTCTATTAGCGGTAACAGATCTCCGAAAGATACGCGTCTTTTTTTTTTTTCAAGTAAATGTTTCTGTACAATGCAAAACGCAACATGGTGGATGAAGAAATTTACATCAGCTGTAGATATGATGGCCATAAGAATGCATGCGAAATTTGGTACAAGGATAGACCGTAAACATACTGGAAATTCTTTATGAAGTGGCCCATTTCACTTGACAATTACAGGCATGGAGGTGGTATAAATTTATGAGATGGTGTACGATAAATTTAACGTGGACATAATGTGTATTTAAGTAATATCTCCCAGATAATAATTCAATTCAATTGTTTATTATTTATGTGCTGAGCCAACAACCGCAAGGCCAATTACAGACTCAGCACAGTGTAGACAGAAGTAGTTACATACTGGACAAACACAACATTAAGTCAATCACAAATCTAAGTTGCTGTTGACAATTGAGAAATGAAAAGTATAGATATTCAGAGAGAATAATAATAATAATAATAATAATAATAATAAT